AAAAAAAAAACAAAAAACAATGCTCTCCCATGCAAACTATCACTCAATTCATAATAAAAACTGTTTTTTAAAAAAAAATGATGATCTGCTCTGTAAACCTTCACTGAATTCATACTGAAAAGTTAAAAAGAAGTACTTAACAGCCCTATTCAGACTGCGGTATTCGTGAGTGATCAGAGATTAACTGGTACTCTTTCTTTAGTATCTAGCTTCTCACACAGGACAATGCTTACAAGTTAAAGTTGTTGTCAATTGGCATTAAGTAGGTGCCGACTCATAGGGACCCTGTATAGGGTTTCCAAGGAACTGGTGGGTTTCAAACGCTGACCTTTTGGTCAGCAGTCCAGTGTTTATCCTACAGCACCACACCAGGCAGGGCTCCATAAATTAGAGGTTTGCCTTAATGATGGGAAACATAACCATCCCTGGCTCCCAGAATTCTCTGAGGCTGCCAGTGGTGATATTTCTAAGCAACAATCACCTATGAATGATGCACCCACAAAATGATAATCAGGGGTCACAGGGACTTAGATTAGTGCAAAAAGGAATTGAGTCGGGTCCTGGTGAGTGAAAATCCAGGAAGAGGCAGGAGGCTGATGCTGAGGGACTCATTATTTTTGTCTGTTCACAGACAATGTCCACATCATCCAGAAAGCTGGTGCGAAGAAAAACCAAATTTTCCTGGAAAACTTCAACCAGTACAACAAGCAACTACGTAAGGTCTTCCCTGAAATGCCAGAAAAGTGGAGTTCCCAGCCAATTCCTGAAGCACGTAAGCAGGAAGCTGGTAATGGGGGGGAAGGGGGGTAATGATGTAAGTGTAGCAGCTACTTTAAGGTCCCTCAGTCATGGGCTAGGGGACTCCCCTTCTACCAAATAAAAGTCATCTCATAAAATTATAAAATACTAATTCTGACTATGAAGAGCCTCAATGATGGATTATCCATTCAATTGAAATTATATATAACTTAAGTGACCGAAGTGGCTTAGAGCCAATAATTAATTACCAATGAGGAAAGTTCCATCTCAAATGCTTCTAGGCTAAGTATGTCAAAGCCCTAACCCAGTCCCACTTCCCTTTTCCCTTGGGCTGACTCTACCTTCTGATTCCATACACAAGTCCACAACTGTGAATATGCCTTATAAACCATTAAGTATTATACAAAACATGTACAAACAGTTGCAATCCCAAACATGTACAATCAGTGAACAGTATTTTTTTTTACCTCTATTCACTTAAACTACTGCATTCCTACCTGTGTCTCCTGCTACTTTCATCTTTCCTCTGCTAACCTCCCTTGTTGTTGCTGTTGTCAGGTGCCATCTAGTCAGTACCAACTCACAGCAAACCTATGCACAACAGAAAGAAACACTGCCTAGTATTGCACCAACCTCACAATCGTTACAAATGAGTCCATTGCTGCTATGACTGTGCCAACCCATCTCATTGGGGGGGTCTTCCTCTTTTCCTACCCTCCACTTTACCAGACATGATATCCTTCTCCAGTTACTGGTCCCTCCTGACAATATGTCTGAAGTGTGAGAGACAAGTCTGGACATCCTGGCTTCCAAGGAGCACTCTGACTGTACTTCTTCCAACACAGATCTGTTTGTTTTTTTGACAGTTCATGATACTTTAATATTCTCCTCCAAAACCGTAACTGAAAT